TTAACTAGCCATGAATAAGGAACCCAATCTTGAATTTAAAAAAAGTTATGTTTTTGTTTGAAATGAGAAAAAATCGCTGATATTTTTTCAATTATGGAAAATTGTCACTGTCAAATATAAATTTCGACGTTGGTTTGAAGGTGATTGACAATGTTTCAGGATGAATTTCACTAGTTCGGACTTCCATTGTCTACTATATAAAATTTTTATTGGCTATAACTTCCCTCGTTTGACTTGTCAGCACTTTACGATTTAGGTTTGATTTAGACTCCATCCTGGTTAAGTTACAATACTCAAATTGTACCCTTTACGCTTCATTTCTGCTCGGTCTGTACACTCGGTTAACCCGCGATGTTCACTTCACAACAGACGAATTCGACTGACTGGGCTGTGGGCGTTTCCATTCCTGTCTTCTGCGCACAGCTAAGGCGGTCTCAAATTAAGATTTTGAAACTTTTTCCTATTCTTGACAAACTGTAAAATTCTGTAATTGCCATGAATGTTTTCAATTCAGAAATTTCCAGATGATTCCATGTTGCATACTAATTCTTAGGACGTGACAATAACAACAATGGAATCTAGGTAACATGCTAGATAAAGTGAAACTTGAAGTATGCTTCAACTTTTCTAGGTGAAGGATGAGAGGGATACGAGGTCTGTTCAAAAAATAAAGTAAATTTTCATTTTTCTCAAAAAAAAAATTAGTTCATTCGTCAATTTCCATTTTGTCCCATTCAAAGTGGTACCCATCAGATATAATACACTTATGCAAGGGTTTTTTCCGATCTTCAAAGCAGTTCTGAAATGCAATTTTGGGTGTGTCCTTGAGCTCTCATAGCGATTCGGTTTTTATCTCCTTAATCGTCTCGAAACGCTTCCCTTTCATGGATATTTTCAATCTTGGGAACAGGAAAAAGTCGCATGGGACTAAATCTGGTGAATACGGTGGCTGAAGCATGATCACAGTGTTTTTTTTTTGACCAAAAATTGCGAACAAGCAGTGACGAATTAGGAAGTGCATTATCTTTGATGCATAAGCCATGAATTGTTTTTTCACAATACCTGACGTTTTCTTCGTATCGCTTCTCGCAAGCTGCGCATAACTACGGTCTCATTGACCGTACGATCATGTAGCAAGAACTCCTGATGCACTACGCCTCGGTAATCTAAGAAAACCGTGAGCAAAAGTGACATTTGATTGAACTTGACGTGCGTTTTTTTGGTCTTAGCTTTCCTGGGATCTTCCATTGGGACGATTGGATTTTCGTTTCGGTTTTATAACTATATACTCATGATTCGTCACCAGTTATGACACTTTCAAGCAAATCTGGATCGCCGTTGATGTCATTCAATAATTACTGAGCGATGCTCATGCAACTGTTTTTTTGTCAAAATTCAGCAATTTCAAAACGAACTTTGCTGCCATACTCTGCATGCCCAAAATTTCAGAAAAAATTACATGGCATGAGCCAACTGATATGCTGACATTCTCAGCAACTTTTCTAATAGTGTTTCGACGATTTTCCATAACAATTGTCTTCACTCGTCCAGGGCGAGCGTCGTCATTCACATCTTCTTAACCACTTATTAACATTTTTCTGACTCGGAGTACAATCACCTTATGCCACTGTCAACATTTCAAGTGTTTTTCAGCACTCAATTCCATTTTTCTAACTTTCATTGCCTCTCGCCAGCAAACTAAACTAGTCCGCGAAATTTGAAGCTTCACCTTATTTTTTGAACAGAATTCGTTTTTAGGTTGTGAGATTTACAAGTTTGTTTTGGAAAATATTTAATCTCAATTTCATTTTTATATTCAGCTGCATCCCGAGGTATTTTTTTTGACAACTTGCCTTCTGAATGTCGGATATTTGTGGAGTTATATAGAACATCCCTGGGTTGGTGTTCCATGCATGATTGTTAATGGTCACTAGATACCATTCATGTAAATTATATTGGATAAATAATGCTATATTCTGAAATATCAACAAGGAAGGGTTGTGTATTTGTGATTTCTAACACTTTTTTGTTCTCATNTTATATAGAACATCCCTGGGTTGGTGTTCCATGCATGATTGTTAATGGTCACTAGATACCATTCATGTAAATTATATTGGATAAATAATGCTATATTCTGAAATATCAACAAGGAAGGGTTGTGTATTTGTGATTTCTAACACTTTTTTGTTCTCATATAACACCATCATTCATTTCCTATGTCTCTATGAAAAGGTCAAAAGAATTCATAATTCTGGATACATTTGAAATGTATATGACCTTAGTGTTTAACGTTCTATAAAATCAGTAGTGAGTAATTATAAAACTTTGGCGATAAACTCAAAGCATGTGATTTTGAATTCTTTCAAAATTTATTTTCATGCAAAAGATTTGGAAAGAGAATAGTTTGAAGCCCGGGTTGAACCACGTATGGTGTTTTTAGTAGTTTGGCTTCGGCTTTGACGCCATTTTCAAGAAGCTATCACTACACTGGGGTCTTATTCTGCAGTACTCCTCAGGTAGTGGCATGCTGAAAGGATTTTGTGACTTGACGTCGGGATATCAAGCTTCGACTATTGGTCCACCGGTTCTGGTCTGGTATTTATCTTCCTGGACGAATGAAATGGCAACCGGCAATGGACTTGGCAGTGGGAACAAGATTGTGACTTGCAATACTGTGACGTTGTGTATTCATTGTGAATCATGTGATTGTTGAGGCAGTATGGAAAGAAGGATGAGGCTACAATTGATTTACGGACAGCAAGCTCATGTTCATAGGCTCTTTTGGTCTTGCCAATGTAAATCTGGAGCAGGTAGAACATGGCATTTCGTATTTGCCCTGTGTCTCATTGGGTATTGTGTCCTTCGGTGTTCATAGTAAGGACGAAATTTGATTTCTGGCTGTGAATATTGTTCCTGTATCGAATTGCCACCGAAAAAACTCTCCAGGCCAGGATAAACCGCGAAGCTGATGAAATTAAAAAACTTCCCAACTGCCTCAAAAAACATGTCTCACAAATATTACCTCATTTATGGGAATCATTACTGTCGCACCGTACATCTCACAACATTGCACATCTCGCTTCTGCATGTCACAACCTCATTCCCACTACCGCCCCCCCCCACTTGTCCAGGGTCATGAATACCAGAACCGGTGGACCGGTAGTCGACGCTTCTGAGGAGGCAGATTAATACCCCAGTGTAGTGATATTCAGACGGTTCACACCTTTCTGAAGAAACTATACCCGGTACTGATGATGGGGCAAGTACCCTGAAACCGGTCTTTCGGTTGGTCGTAGCGACCAAACGAAAATAATTTCTGCTTTTCATAGTGGGAAATGAATTGCGACGAATCTTACAAATCGAAGACGTTGCGCAGGTGCCTGAGGGTTTTAATTCAACTCTCTGCGCGGCATTAGCTGGGTTGGTTGTTGTTTTTCCGTTGGGTATCTGCCACACGTACCTACAAAGTCGTAGGTCTACATGAGAGGCATATATTTCATAGTCATTTCGTAAACTTGAAAATCATTCTATTTGTAAACTTTTCTACTTGCTTTGGTTTCATTTTTTCGATGTTTTATTTCATATTGTTTTACTTTTCATCATCTCATTGCAGTCTAACCTCATTACACTGAAAATTGGATTATTCTTATGTAAAAATAATGAAGTAATTAATCTATTTTTACAGCTCTAACATTACCATTATTTACAAATGTTTTGCATCTATTTTTGTTCTTCACTTCTTTCATCCATCCACTACTTCATCTTTTAAGAACCTTTACAATTCTGTTCAGAAAATTAATTCGTTGCTCCTGACAACGGTACTTGGAATTTTTGGGGATTCCACTCGAATTCTTTTCTTTGAAAGGTTTTAAAAGTAAAAGGTTCTTCGTACTTGACCTTTCTCACTGGTTAACTTTATCTTTAACCCTTTTTATAATTTTTTTTTCATTGTAAATCTTTCCAGAGATTTGATAGAACTGGACGATACTTAAAGAACACTCATATTAATATTAACTGTTACAATTTACTGGATTCCAAAATTCTAAAAAGTACATTTATGTATATCGTTGAAGTTCACCTTCTCAAGTTGAACATATCGGTCAGTATATTTATGTTTCATAAAAATTAAATACTTATTTTGGCTACCCGAGGTTTCGTGAATCCGAATTAATTATTGAGTATAAAATGAGTTTGAATACAAACTCTAAGGTAAACTTGAAGTCTAGGTTTCCTTCAATACTTTATGCTTTAGAGTACAATTCGTGTTCCAGGAATTTTGTTGTACTTGTGGATTGTCAAGTCTTCTAATTTTACAACTTTTCGAGTCTTATGTGGGAAAATTTCACTTTCTACTATCCTGTAAGGAATTGGAAACCTCCGGAAAGAGGAAAAATATCAATACAGTTTTTTGGAAGTGTGTAGATCGTGTTTATTTCAGATACAAATCAAAAAAGGACTACAACTTGATTTTGTGTTATTTCTGATGAATAAGAGCCTTGGTTGGTGAGATTTATTCAGTCTTCCATGAAATCTTCATTCTATGTATTGAACATAATAAGTACAATCGCAATATATGTTGATATAAAAAGAGTCTTTCTACAGTTTTGTGTAAAGAGTGGATGTTCTAAATTTCTGGGCCAGTTTTTGAACATTTTGACTTTATGAAGTTTTCAATTTAGTTTTGAGACGATTGGAACACATTTGGTTTCAGAAACGTCAATAGTTTTTTGTTGGCAATTTAGAATATGCACTGGAATATGTTTTAATCCTTTATTTAACTGTTTTTATTATTATTCAGCACGAAGTAATGTGCATACAACATTTTGGGGTTATAGAGAAAAAAGATTGAGAATTATTGCTTTTGTATTGTTTTTATTGTTTTATCTTTTCAGTTTTCTATAGTAATTGGGAACAGAAACTTAAATATAACTGCTTTGCTTATTATTGTGTTATTGCTGAAGAATCAACAAACATAATAATATTGATATACCATGTTTTAGGTCATAGGAACATTATTTGTGATAAGTTGTACAACACCACTCTTCATAGCAGTTATTATTCCAATTGCTATTCTCTACTATTTCATACAGCGGTTTTATGTTGCTACCTCAAGACAGTTGAAGCGTTTAGAGTCTGTCTCTAGATCACCAATCTATTCACATTTTGGGGAAACAGTCTCGGGAACACATGCCATCAGAGCTTACAATCAACAGGAAAGATTCATTTTAGAATCAGAACGTAAAGTGGATCTCAACCAAATATGTTATTATCCAGGAATAATTTCTAATCGATGGCTAGCTGTTAGACTGGAAATGATGGGAAATTTGATTATACTTTTTGCAGCACTTTTTGCTGTTATTGCTAATAATCAGGCCCCCGGATTAGTAGGATTGTCAGTGACTTATGCATTGCAGGTAACATCTTTTTTTTACAAGTTTTATAGATTTACAATTACAGTTTTATGAATAGTAATTTAAATTACTCAGACATATTTTACACTCCATTGGTGTTTTTTTTAACGAATTTCTCTCTTGATTTAGATCACGCAAACCCTCAATTGGCTTGTTAGAATGACATCTGACGTAGAAACAAATATTGTAGCTGTGGAACGTATCAAAGAATATGCTGAAGCAAAACAGGAAGCTGCATGGGAAATCACAAATAAAAATCCACCAAATTCCTGGCCAGAAATTGGTTCTGTTGAATTCAGAGATTATTCTGTGAGATATAGACCTGGTCTTGATCTAGTTTTGACTGGTGTCAATTTCCACATCAGAGGTGGTGAAAAAGTTGGCATAGTTGGAAGGACTGGTGCAGGGAAATCAAGTTTGACTCTTTCCCTTTTCAGGTAACTTTTTGGTAGTCTTGTTTGGTACCTAATTTCTATAAAAGTTGAAAGAAATCTGAGAAAAACGATAACATATAGAGTTTGAGTGGATAATGAAACTGTCTGCAGATGACACTTTATTCTGAAAAAACTAATCAGAAAAACATTCAGAGCATTGATAAAGATTTGAAAATTGTATTTTTGTTGAATAATTACAAATTAACATAGTAAAATCCTTATTTATGTTTTTAACGAACAGAATGTCAAAATTAATAAGGTGTATATTCAAGTTCAACTACAAGGAGCCTAGAGTCAACTTGTGTAAACCAAAAAACTATTAGATTTGTCATCGTTACATTAATTCAAATTATGCACTCTCGTTCATTTGGTCAAAAAAAAGCTGAAACATTCAAATCTGACTTTCAAAATCAATGGTGACTAACACAACCATTCGACAAAATATTCAGGCAATCTAAAATTCATGAAAATTGAAATAAAATTCGGCAAAATTCGATTTATTATAAAGGTATCAAGTTTTACAATGAGCTACCAAATGCTTTAAAATAGTTAATAAATAAAAATTCCGAATTAATTCGAAAATATTTATTGCTTTAGAATGTATACATATGTATGTATATGTATATATTATACAGTGTGACCCATTTTTAATGGAAACACCCCCCTAAAATTTGAAGTTGTAAATCGATTTTAATAATTTTTTTTTAATGTCAAGTACTAAAAGGTCTACCTTGGGACAAAATTTGAAAAGTTCATTAAAGTTTCAGGGCATACTACGATATTTTTTCTTAGTCGCCACTGGATTCAGAGTGCCTCTAAACAGGTATGACCAAAATTTCATGAAAAAATATTCATTATTAACAAAGTTATGACAACTCAAAAATTCGNAAATATTAACCAAACATCCTTTATATGAAATTGATCAATTTTTCGAAGTTATCCAAGAAGAAAGAGACACTTTTGTGGTCACCTCCCGAACTTTTACTCAACTTTGAATATATATAATACGTTAGCTATGTGTTTATAATTTGTAAAAGCTCATGGCTTTACATTTTATTCAAGTCTTATAAGATTGGAATTTTATCTTGTTAACTTGTATTTTTTTTTGTAAATCTAATTTATATACAAGCATTTTCTTAAAACTATATTGACAAATCTTACCCTGTCAAACTTATTTTAGAAATTGTATTGACGTGTCTAAAAACTGTGTGTTTCTTGAGACTAATACAAATTATCATTATATTATTATTGCTTTAGAATGTATACATATGCATGTATATGTATATATTATATTATGTATGCATTTATGTGTATGTTGATAATCATCTTCAATCATCAATTTTTTTTCAAGTTTCAGTTCTGATTTATATTTTTTCTGTGCTCTGTTCGTACTTAGTTATGTTATAGTTTTGAATTATGGTTTTTTCCCTACTATAAGCATGTATGTTTCTTGGGACAATAAATCATTAGTATTATTATTGCCATTGAAAAAAAATAAAAAAATCTTCATTAGATGTTTTCCAACTGGATAGTATAATAATGAATCTGATCAACAACTTCATTCTCGAGGAATAAACGCATCCCATAAATGTTCACATTGAACAAAACACTTTTCCAGACTCATTTAAACTTTCTCGGATATCTCCAATATATAAAAAAGGGGATTGTGGATGACACAAATTATAGCAATAAATAAATGAATAAATCGATCCATCTGTATCTAGCTGTAAAATTCTTTTCGATATGATATTTCACATTTGCATTAATTTGCATAATGAAACCCGATTTAGAGATGTGAAATGGAGAATTCTTGTTTCAGAATTGTTGAAGCTGCTGCAGGTAGCATTTTTATAGATGGTGTCAAGATATCAGAACTGGGATTGCACACCTTGAGATCTCGATTAACAATCATTCCCCAAGATGCCGTTTTGTTCTCAGGAACCTTACGTATGAATCTGGATCCCTTTGATCAATATAATGATGATGCAGTTTGGAGGTCCTTGGAGCACGCGCATCTTAAAGATTTTGTGAAAGGTATGAATTTAGAAAATAACTTTCGTTTCATTTCTTCAATATTTTTTAATGTGAAAATTGTTCGGGACCTGTGAATCTCGACTTTATTTTACAATAATAATAGATTGTTTTCCAAGTATCACCCAGTATGTGACCGACTGATAATATTTTTAGGAAATGTCACAGGGATTGAACATGATAAATTATTAGTACAAAAATACAGAGTGTAACTGAATAAGTGTAAAACATTTAAGGATTCCTCATCGAAAAAAAAGATAGGATCTTTCATATCAAGAAACTTCATTGANGTAGTGTTGTGTCATCCGCATACATTACAAAATTTCCTTCAAAGTCATTGACATAAATTATATAAAGTAGAGGTCCCAAAATAGAGCCTTGTGGTACTCCAATAGTATACTTTAAACGTTTAGATTGATACTGATCTATATCAACGTATTGTGTTCGATTTTGGAGATAACTTTCAAACCATCTACGTGAGTTTCCCCTAAAACCATACTTTTCCAATTTGTCTAGTAGAATTCTGTGGTCTACAAGATCAAATGCCTTACTTAGATCTAAGAAAATACCCAGAGTTCGATTACCCATATCTAGACTATTACATAGCTCTTTTAGTAGTTTTATTATAGCTTGTGTTGTTGAACGTCCCTTTCTAAAACCAAATTGATTTTCATTGAATAGCTTATGAAGATCAAAGAATGAAACGACTGAATTTGACACCCATTTTTCATAAACCTTTGCAAAAGCACTGGGGACAGTAATGGGCCTGTAATTTTCAACTTGAGTTTTATTTCCATTTTTATGTATAGGTTTTATTTTTCCAATTTTTAAACTATCTGGGTAAATACCTTCTTCCAACGAGCAGTTGATGGCAAAAGTTAGTGGGCCTGCAATAAATGACGAACACTTTTTTAAAAGATTAGGACTTATTTCATCATTACCAGTAGATTGAGAGGATTTTAGGTTTTTGATATAGATATGTACTACGCTGTCTGTTCAAAAAATTAAGTGAAATTTCATTTTTCTCAAAAAATATTTATCTGTTCATCGATTTTTGTTTTGTCCCGTTCAAAATAATCCCACTTGTGCCAGCGTTTTCTCAAATCCGCGAAACAGTTCACTTTTAGGTATGTTATTGATCTCTTTTAATGATTCGGTTTTTATCTTCTCAACCGTAACGCTGTCCTTTCATCTTGGCAACAGAAAATAATCGCAGCGATCCAATTCTGGTGAATACGGTGGCTGAGAGCAGGTGCATTATCGTGATGCAAAAACTTTTAATTGTTTTTCAACAATACCGGTCATTTTCTTTGTATTGCTTCTACCAAGTGGTGCATAACTTCAACATACGACCATACGACCATGTGGCAAGAATTCCTGACGCACTACGCTGCGGTAATTGAAGAAAACAGCAAAACCTTGACATTCGATCGAACTTGGCGTGCTTTTTTTTGCCTTGCTCTCCCAATGGGATGATTAGACTTTTGTTTCGATGTCATTAGTATATAACTACGATGAGTCACCAGTTATGACCCTCTTAAGCAAATCTGGATCGCCGTTGACGTCATTCAACAATTTCTGAGCGATGCCCGTCCAAAATTTCCGAAAAAATTACATTGCATGAGCCAACCGATATGCCGAAATCCTCAGCAATATTTCTAATAGTGATTCGATGTTTTTCCATAACAATTTTCCTCATTTTCTCAACATTTTCACCGGTTGTTGATGTGCTGAAGCGCCCAAAAGAGCGTGTCTTTCACATCGTCTCGACCTTCTGTAAAAAGCTTGTATCACTTATAGACATTTTTCTGAACCCGAGTATAATCACCGTATGCCACTATCAATATTCCAAGTGTTTTTGAGGACTTGATTCAATGTTTACACAAAATTTTATGTAATGTCTTTGATCCGTTTTTTTAGATTGCACAAAATCGGCGAAAATGCCAAAACATTTAACTTTCATGCCCTCTCACCAACAAACTATACATGCTAAACAGCTGAAACTATAAACATATGTTCAAAATGATTGTACCAACATAAAAAAATTAAAAAATCGCTAATCGAATGTATGTAGCCCGCGAAATTTGAACATTCACCTTATTTTTCCAACAGCCCCCGTATACCTAAAACCTAAATCAATTACGTTTATAATTTGGTGAAATTTACTGGTTAACAAATCTGGTAAAATTTCATATCTAATCGATAAAACTCTTATAATTATGTGGTAACATGTTTTCAGGTTTGAATGCAGGTCTCAATCACGAAGTTACAGAAGGAGGTGAAAATCTTTCAGTTGGCCAGAGACAGTTGATTTGTTTAGCCAGAGCTCTACTCAGGAAGACAAAAGTGCTAGTGTTGGATGAAGCAACGGCGGCTGTTGACCTGGAAACTGATGATCTCATCCAGAAGACGATCAGAACCGAATTTAGTAATTGTACAGTACTCACTATAGCACATAGATTAAATACTATTATGGATTCTGATCGTGTCATAGTCCTTGATAAAGGAAAAATCATTGAGTTTGATACACCAAGCAATTTATTGAAAGATGAAAATTCAATATTTTATAGTATGTCGAAAGATGCAGGTTTAGTGTAAACACCAGTACAATTAGAAAACGGTTTCAATGGAATTAGGAATGTGGTGTTTTGACTTTATTGCCATCATAATAATCTTTACTTTTGGTTTGATAGTGATCACTTTTACATTATTTTATATTTTTGTACTTAAAGATTTTACTGTGGAACTTAAGCGGCTACTTAAAGTTTGCAAAACTGGTGACCTAAAATATTTAAATCACTTGAAATATTAAAAAAGAACTGATATGTTCTTTCACAATTGTCATATAAAAATTTTCACATACCCCAGTATTCTTGCCAGTGTTTTTGTATTAATATTCAACTAGGCTTAATGATATATAAGTCATTGAAGTACACTTTTTTTATACATATTACAAGTTGATAGTTGTTTGTTAGTGAATATTAATTTTTTTGTTTAATTTTGAGAACTTTTGTTCACTTCATTAAATCGAATCGTTGAAAAATAATGTTTTTTTTTATATGAATATATATTCCTATGCACTGAGTTTTGAATCTGTGATCCCACAGCATGGAAAGATGAATTAATCAATTAAATTCAGAGACTCCAGACCAATTATTTATATCAGCTTTCAGAGACTTTCATTTCGATATATAAGCACTACCAACAGGCAGATCGGGCAAGTCTAGTTGAAAGTGCGGTACAAAGTGATCTAATGAGGGGATATACATTTGAGTATTCATCTGAAGTTTCAGTAAAAGTGTTGGTGTTGTATTGTTAGTGTAGCAGTGAAATAAAGGTAAGTTTAATTGTACAGGGTAGTCAGTTACTGTCAAACCCACGGAGAAAACGTATCAATAGTAATATGTCGAGGGGTGACCTCATTTGCTGTTGTGAATAT